TCAAATTAGGCAAACGGGACAAAGGAGCTCACATCACAAACATGGCTGTGGTTTTCGTAAATGCAAATTTAAAATAGTTTTTGCTCTCACACTACACCTTGCTGGAACAAACTAGATTAAAAACATCTTATGGACACCAGTATAAACTATTCTATACCGTCATAACCTTGGCTTTTCATTAATACATACCATTAATCTTGGATTTGTTGATTAATGACCAGCTGGGCACCCAGACAGTTATGAACTGTGACACGAAGTCAGTGTAATTAATTTGCAGGTGTCATCTGCTAATGCTTATTCATAGACATCTACAGCTGCAGTGATGCCTTCATCTTCGAAGAACAGCTCTAGAGTGTCACATGTTGGATGGCATCATCCAATGACATAACATTACAAAACACCCACTGAGAATAAATTGGAGCCAAACAGTAACATTCCAATAATACACTGTGGGATTGAAAAGATATAATTCATAAAAATCCTTTGTGACTCATTTATGTTCTGCAAGATTTGACCTTTTGACTACATTACCCTACATTACATGGGCGCAGCATGCTATACGAAAACCAATGGCACCAAGAAAAGGTGTCCAGTGTCTTGAGTGAATCGGTACAAAAAAGGAAATAGACGTTTATTAAAAGCGAATGTGCCTCTTGGAACCGAGAAGGAGTCGGCTGTACTATGACACTGAGGAGTTTCCCTTCATTCCAATTTGGGTTTGTTAATCTTACTTGGGGTTCCCTGTGTTATACTCAAAAGCCTTGACTGGGTGCCTAATGTGATCCCCTTGACACATCTTTGTTAATTTCTTATAGAGCCCCTTTTGAGAATCAGACGGTCATTAATAGCACGGTCATTAATACGAGTCACTCGGTAATGATGCAACAGGCCCTGATCTTCCCAGGCAAAACACAGGGACCGGTGCTGCACACTGACATAAAAGCCTGTTTTCATTTTGTAGAGTCCCTCATAGTGAAACTGAGGAGAGACGTTTACTCCAACATAAAGCAGAGATGAAAGAACCATGCAAGTTACCAGCTGTGTCTTGGAGTCCTTACAATGGCTATTCATGCTGCCATTACACTGCACCATCGTAAGCCTATGAATGAGGGCAGCTTTAGCAGCGTCATTCTTCCTGAACATTAGAAAGCTGTAGTTGCGATGCAAAGTCCTTGGGCTCCATCCCAAAATGCCCTCAGAACAGGTAGCACCATGCAGCCCATCAGAGGCCAGATCTACCTGCTGGCCTGTGTTTAATGTTCTGGACATGGTCTCCTCCAGCCACCCCCATCTGCCTCATATTCCCGGCCTTTCCATGCGTTGGCGTTTATGAGGCTCATCGCCATTGCTGCGTTTTGTTTGGAAACATCATCCAGTGCATCTTGTTTATGCAGAGATGTAATTAGTGGGCTGTGATGGGGAGGTAACCAAAAGGCCGCCCAGAATGGCTGAGCCGAGGGCCAGAGGGGCCGGGGTGCGAGTACCACCACACATCAGATGATCAGCCTGTGACATCCTGCTCCTGCGGCCAGATGCCAAGACTGCAGAGAAAGACAATAGCAGCTCAAGGAAGGGGTAGAGCACCAGACTGCTGCACATGCTGACTGCTAGAGTAGAGAACAAAGACTGTGTCTTAACACAAAGAGGAGTGTGGGGGGTTGGAATAAACTTTTCAAAGTAATGTTGGCATCCTATATATATTAGGCACACAACACAAAAATCATCACGGTCCCGAATGGCCGGGTATTTCTTAGGCAGTTCCTGCCGATTTTGTTATACACTGCGCACGCTTAACAAACGTTAATGCCGCCGGATCTTTTCAACGATCCATATCACGCAGGTTAAAGAGACGAGCGATTTCTGATATCTCATGTCCTTCCACGTTTAAAGGACGTGCCGCATCTTGAAGTAGTCCTAGTGGTTTACAATGGCCGCCTTCTAGCTAACTCGAAAATGGCAAGATTCTGCGTAACTCCCTAAACTGACACGATCGCAACTTCCCCACAAAATTTACGTTATCCCCGATCGGGCCATATAGCAATATTTTTACCTATTAACACAACAATATTGAAATGATCTTGTGTGTGGTTTAGTTTTGCAATTGGCAAACATTACGACGATTTTTATAGCTCGTCCCATTAGTAGTTTAACAACTGATTATGTAAGTGTTTTAGGATCTCGAAAGAAAAACAGTCGTTTTTTTAGCCAAGAAATTTGGGTACTCCAGGAATGCAAACGCTTAGCGGAATGCTGTTAAAACGCTTATGCGCCCTGTAATGGCGTTTGGAACAGGTAACGTGATGGTTTTTTGAAACTTAAATAATTCTAAATTCTACATTAATAGAAAAATGAAAGTTTGTGTCACAGCACTATTAAAACATCCGATACGGTCCAGGATTCTTCCAAAAGCATAAACAAAAAACACCTGTAAGGCAGTTTTAATACAATTTCGGTGTGAGCGAGGCAGGTTATTTTGTAATGCGAATAGATGCTGCTTCGTTTATGCAGTTTTTTCCACATGCATTTTTTACATTTGTTCCTTGTTTGCTATTACATTTCAACTCTGCCGATGAATTAACAATCGGTGTCTTGTATCGCAGCAGCGAATCTTGTATAATTTAAGCTTGATACATTTCAATCACACGCAGCGGCTCAAACGGTTGGAATAGTGTAGCTATACAAAAATAGCAAAGGCTGCACAATGAAATGTTTTAGCTCCAGCTCCCATGGGGCTGAAGATTATATACAGAAATGTAGGTGCGGTCAGGAGTTGGTTCCTTAGAAGAACATTTTTATGTTAGTAAGTCCAGCAACGAAGGTATGGCATTGAATGCCACCGTAGTGACGAGCTGATCCTGCCAGTGAATAGATGGAGGCTGTAGGTGTGGTTATTACGCCGCAGCTGAGATCGCCGAGCTGCCGGGCATAACAGATGAGAGCGCAATAAGCCTAGCGATGGATGCGGCTTTATAGCGAGAAACGTAAGTTTGGAGGAATTGCGGCAGACAGACTGATTTTCGGAATAACTTTCAGAAAGATAAGACAAAAAGCTGGTAAGTGGGAAAGCGTGACAAGTACGTTTCTACGGTTCAATGGCAGAGTCCCGATGAACATTTTAAATAAAATTAACTTGCTGAGGAAGGTTGTATTTAGACGTGCAGCCTGTGTTTCTGGGCGTTTGTTTGCATGCGTATTTATTTATTTATTTTTGCTGTTTCATATGTTGAGTTGAGTGTTTCGGATGCTTTGTATATAAACTGCAAGCTGCACATGATTACAGCTGTTGCAGTCTGAACAGACAATGACATTTGCATTTGAATGGCGCCTTTAACCCCCATGTCGTAAAAGTTTAAGTGACCAAAGAGAAATTTCATCATGGGTCTGAAAAACCGCGTCGGCCTTATTTGCTCAGTTTCTTTTGCACGTGTTTGCTTGCAAAGCCATAGTATGCGTTGCACACTTGTTGGAAGTATAGGAGTTGCATAACATGCATGACTGTTCATTTTTGTTGTGGATTTTGTTTATCGTAATTTAAAAATGTGATTTTGCTTTTACTGCTAAATTCGAGAGCCACTATGGACCAGTCTTCTAGTCTACAGCTGGGCTATTTTAAGATGACCTCATTGCCAGCGGTTTGTATCTCGAGCAAATTACTAGTATTTTTTATTTTAATATTGGCCCCGAAAGCACAGGCGATTACTTTTTTTCCCATTCACACTTTTATATATAGGTAATTGCGATTGGCAAAACCGATCGTTTCGTGAAATCTGACGTGCACCGTTGTGTTTACTCGCACGAAGAGGTGGTTTCAGTTTGCATTGGCCCAAAGTCATGCATTTAGTGGGACGACTTGCGGGACTGTAATTATGCGGGGGGAAAAAAACTTTTTTTTTTTTTTTTGGCAATGATCTGTCCACACTTTTTTCCTTCTTGCGACTACTTCAGGAAGTATGACTTGTTTCTATATATTGTCTAGACCGGGCAGTTTACTGCTTGTTTTTATATCTGAGGGGTATTTCGTTTTATGATGAAGCCACCATAAAGTCACCTATATATGACAGGATAAAAAGAGATGGGGATGTAAGGTGGTTTATAAAGAAGCATAAACCAACCAATATCAAACTGCCTGTCATTTACTACGACACCTTGTATGCATAGTAATGTTAAAGGTGCTTTTACTGGTTATTCTGGGGTTGTTCATATCAACGAGAAATTGGCGTTTTGTTTCCATGCTGTTCAAAGTAATTGTTAAACATTTAATTTCCTCACCAAGTCCAGAAGGAAGGAGTCCTTTTGCAAGCTGGAATCTGTTTCCTGCAGCTTCCCGGAGCTTTATTTGCGGTCTAACTGCCGCAGCCAATCGCGCTTTCTGTGCCTAATTTGCCTGTTGGCAAATTGCTGATAGTTCTTCATGCAAAGATTATAGTTCTCATACCAACTGACGCTGGCAAATGAATTATAAACATCCAAGCAATCACGAGTCAACATGCGCATGTGCCAAATATAAGAAGAAACTGAATCTAGTGGCAGTTTCCAGTGTTTAAGGGTGTTTACAGCATCCAGAAGGCGTTTCATTCTGGTGAGTCAGTGCTGGCTGTTAAGGGTTTGGCGGTAATTTCGGTGCCACAGGACATTCTCCGTTTCCAGTGTGTTTCTCATTCACCTCAATCTACATTTGCTGTCCATTAGCTATTTTTCATATTTTTAAGACTGATTTAACCCCCCCCCACCACCACCTTTTGGGGGAGTTTGTGGAGGTCAGGGCTGGATGCTTGATGTTGGCAGTGATAAAGAGACGCCAAGGAGCTGCCAAGTGTGGCCGCAGTAATTAGGAACGTAGCGGGAGGACCTGGCCTGCCCCAGCCCTCGGCCCCCCCATAAATACCTTTTCCCCCTCTACCGGCTTTTAATGAATGTTCAGCACTGACTCTGGAGTAGCCTGCTGAGGTGAATAAATGCTTTCTTGGGTTTACAGTGACACATGCTTACCTCAGCAGTACTTGGCCTTGCAAAGCAGGTGAAGCTCCAGCTTGCAGCTCTTCACTGTATTCTGGGCTCCTGCATTCTGGGCTCCTGCACGGCCTCGGGGCCAGGGCTCCCTCCCAGGATGTGGGTGCTGTGCTGTCGCCCCCCCCACCCCGGGTTCTCCTTGGTTTATACGCCAATTATCACTTCAAGGTAGTAGATTGTTGGCCGGACTGTAGTGTCTATCGATCGAGTTGTATTGCAGTGGCAGACGATTTAAGGGTCATTACAGACTGTAATAAATGTTGGCGATGTGTCTCCGCTTTTGAGACATAAGACAGTGTTCTTCTTGTCGTTTACTTCACATTGGTTGCTCCAAAGGCACCTTTTTGCCAGGATTCATTGTTTTCAGGTTCTTTCATTATGCTTGTGGAGGAGTTGGTCAGTACCTGCACCTGTCATTTGCATTAAATGTGTTTGGCTCTTTATTGGTCTCTCCTTTTCTTCTGCATGTTGTGTTTCTTGCCCATGTCACAGTGTTGTCCAGTGGTGGCTATTGTGCCTGGATCCCCTCCCTCAGTGATCATCTGGGCAGGTCTTCGCGGTCGGCATTCACAGTGATCCAGATTCGCCCTAAAAGGGTGGAGCCAGCTTCAGATGATTCACTGCAGTACTTAACCACAGAGGATGGTGGTGTTTGTTTTTTATTGTATTTTTCTTTCCCTGCCTGGAAAGATGTAGAAATAAAATTAATCCAAGATTATGAGGAGGAGCGAAAAAGGGTTTAGTAATAAACTGCAGTCACGTCACTGATGGCTTTAATACTCCCTCAAGCCACTGTGATACACCATGAATGGAATGCCATCCATTCTGAATGCTTTTTCTAAAGTCATATATTTTTAAAATAAACATGCGTTTCATTTCTGCAGAGCTATGAATAGATTGTGTGTTATGATAACATTTGGAGAACATTTTGGCCAGCCCATGGTACTGCAGAGTTGGCCAAAGCTGAACGGGCTTGTGTATCCCTGTGATTTTTATGCCAATCTTATTTAATTGTTAAAGTTGGTTCCAGTTTTGCTAAGCCAATATTTTTGATATACCCAGATGTGTATTTTTATGGTGATTTGTTATATAAGCTAAATAAATTGAAGTTGTGGGAAATCACTTCCCAAAGGTGGGAATTCAGCTTGGGAGCTTTTATGCTGCTGAAGGACCCATGGAAAGTGCTTATGGGACAGCTGATCAGATTGAGCTGTCCTGATGGCTGCCTGGGGGGAACGTGACATCGGGCAAATCAGGGGAGCTGCCCCCCCATACCCCCCTCATACTTGTGTCTGAGTGTAAATAAGAAATGGAGATTAACCACCCCTAGAGTGGACGTCGTCATGGATACCTCTGCTGGGAGTCTCTCTCCCGCTATTTAATTAGCATGAAGCCCCCTCTCCAGTCCAATAGATTATCTGTGCCCGGGACACCAGGCGCGCCCGTGTCTATTCAGTGCGTTGTGTTCACTGACGTCAGGGTGCTGAATAGCCACGGCAAGGGTGGCAGCTGTTTGCTCCTGAGGGACCTTTGCTGAAGAAGTTATTTTCATTCATATCCTGTATGTGAGCACTTGTATTTCTCTTTGGCAAGTTGATGAGAGTAATTAGTACCCGTGATTCATTTTAACCAGTTAATGCTGTGTGTCTGATGTAAATAATATAATATTTATGTGATTGATAATTTAATCTATGTATTGAAGACCTTGCATTGCTTTTCTCTGCGTAGTGGGATTTTTGCTGATGCTGTTAGATTACCTGACTTCTATACTCAGGTTTCCATCTTTCTGGTGCCAAATCATTTGCAAAAAAAAGGCCAGGGCCTGGCATTGAATGATTTAATATACATACAGCATCATGTACCAGTGCTGTAGGTGTCAAGTGTCCACAACAACAGGCCCTTTGTGAGGAACTTCTTGCCTTAGTGTAGCATCTGATGAACCATCCAGTAATTCACAGGGAGGCATTAAATGGTTTGGTCCAGACTTGCAGAGGGTGTTTGAGCCTGACACAACAACAACAAACAACAAATTTATTTTTGTATAGCGCATTATCACAACATTACATCGTCTCAAAGCGCTTTACAGCATCCCCACCCATAGCACCCAGTAAGTAAGCCATAGGCGACAGTGGCAAGGGAAAAACTCCCAAGAAGGAAGAAACCTTGGGAGGGACCAGACTCAAAGGGGGAGCCCATCCTCCAGGGACTGGACCTGCGCAGTCTCTGCACAGGGAAAATGTTACTACGTGTAGCAGATCAGCGATCGTGCTGCATACGTTAACGTCACTGAGCCTTAGTCCGTTCGGATCTGTAAATCTGGGCAGGCCGCGGGGGAAAATGGCCCACTGTTAGCCCATGGCTTCATTTTATGCCCAATTAACCTTCATTTTCTGGTGTTCCCCCCCCTCCCTCCCCAGTGCTGGAATGCGGCAGTCCAGTGGCTGCTTCCCTTCTGCAGCACCACTCTTCTGGGCTGACCTGAGCGTGGAGTTGGCGGGAGGGAGACCTTGAATCCTTTGGTCTGAATGTGCTTGATTAGAGGGAATGCAGGGCTGCCAGCCAGCCCCGGGGCCGTGGCCCAGGCCTTTTCTCCGGTGGAAAAAGCCAGAGATGATTCATTGCCCCAAAGCAAATGCATCAGTAGACCCAATGTATTGTTATGGGGTTGAAATGCTATAGCTGCTGGTCCGGATGGGTGAGGTACCATTTTGTGATGCTGCATGCCTGACATACAGTACATTTCAGTGATTTTTCCAAAGATAATATGGTAATGTCCTGAAGAATTCCTTTGTGCGTCAATCGTGGGAGCAGCGGCATTCCAGTTCCCCTGGGTGTTAAACTGAACACACTCAGGTGCCAGTGATAATCTGGGGCATGAAATACTCTTGAATTGAGTGGGTTAGGAATCTGTGCTCATGATCAGAAGGTCTTCGGTTCAAATCCCACTGCTGGCAGTGCGATATCACTGTTGGGTCCTTGAGCGAAGCCCTTAACACCCAGTTACTCCAGTGGGACCACCTGCCCCTGCTATTTGATCCTCAGT